TGAATCCAGCGATCTAAGAACCTTCTCCATGATTCTTACTTCATCTAGCTTCTCCACATTTCTCTTTAGGTTATTAGTAACCGCTAGAACTCTTGAAAAGTAATCTTGGACAAGTTCACCTTCCTTCATTTGCAATGCTTCAAATTCTCCTCTTAGAGTTTGAAGACGTACCTTCTTGACTTGCTCTGCTTCCTTGTAAGAAGTTTGAAGCTTCTCCCATGCTTCTTTGGCCATCTTTGCTCCGGCGACCTTCTCGAATGTGTCTTCATCTAATCATTGATAGATGAGACAGAGAGTCTTCTTGTCTCTCTTCCTTGAGTCTCTCAAACTGTCCTTTTGAGTTTGAGAAAGACTACCTTCATTCTCCGGTTCAATGTAGCCATTTTGGACAATCTCCCACACATCATGTGCTCCTAGAATGGCCACCATTCTTAGACTCCAGTTGTCGTAGTTGCTCTTAGTGAGCATTGGAACTTGGAAGGGAACACCATTACTTGCCATCTTTAAGAGAATCTTCTAGCTCTGATACCACTTTGTTGGAAAGAAAGAATTTTTAAGAGTGATAGAGAAGGTGTTTAATAATTTGAAAGACAATGGAACAAATTTAAGAAGAAGAAAGTTTTAGAACTTAGAGAGCTTAGGAACTTCACTTAACTTCTCTTATTATTTCTTTTAGCTTGTTTTTTTACAAAATGAGAGAGGAGGTAGCTATTTATAGCCTCCAAAGTACAAAATATCTAAAATATTTTATTCCTAAATCTAGAGAATTCTAACTTAATATCTAGATTATTTTACAACAATTATCTAGAGAAATCTCTAGATATTTATTTTCTACAACTCTCTAGAACATTTTAAGGAGGTGGAAGTGTTGATTTTTCTAGAGAAAACTCTAGAATCTTTGATTAAGTATAATTAGGTTTTGACCCAATTATTATTGGATCATTAACCCAATATTTAAGCATGATCCAAAATCAAGTTTATCATTCAACATCATAGCGGATAAGATTTTGGTTACCTACTGAAACTCAAAGTGGATTCTTTGCTTCTCTGGCCTCCATTAATCGAAGACGAAGGAGCAGCAACACAGAGAAAGGAGAAAAGAAACAGCAACCTATTTTCTTTAATATATTTCTGTTTTAGAGTATACCAACTAATTCCATTGGCACATGTTGTTAAGATTGACTTCGGTTTGGCTAGAGTTCGGTGGTTCAAATTTCAAATCTCTAATCTCAAATAGTTTGATTTTTTATAATCAAAACGACATAGTTTTAGTTTTTATTTAAAAATTAACGTTTTAGTTTCTGTTTAAAAATTAACAGAAATATTATTTGTGGACGTCGACGATATAGGTGAGTCTTGTATTACGGATAACTTTTGAGTTTTTAGGATTGGCTTGTATTTTTTTGAGGTGAGTTTTTCTCACAAAAAAAAATTTAGTATAAAGGTTTTTTTAAAATAATTTTTTTTATCTATTTGTTTTTAGTTTTCCATCTTTCTACTTTTTTAGTTATTTATATAATTCTGTTATAAATTTAAAATGATATATTAATAGATAGAGCTGTGAGGGAGGTCACATGAGAAAGCAAAACAGAGCTTTCTTATTTACCACACATGCCTACTTTTTTTAGTCTTCACCAATTGGTCAAACAATTAGTTTCAAATGGCAATATCGTAATTTAAACATTTCTACATAGCCTCGGTCTCATCGAGCCATAACAGGAGAGATTTACAGTAATAGGCATTTTTCTCACTTATAATAACAAAATATGCACTTTTAGATATAGAGGCATTTTTAGTGTGTTTGGTGGTGATAAAATCTCTTTTCTACCCTTAATAAAAGAAGAAGATTATTAAACAAAAATAAATTCTAGTTAAAAGTAAATAGCCTCACGACCAATATTATATTCTCTCTACCAAGATCATCATCATCTTCACCATCTCACCATCATCGCTGATCTCATCTATGTCTTTCACAATTTCATCGTCACCTCCGCCCGTCAATACCATCACCATTTATATTAATCTTGATTTAACCAATTGGGTAGATTTAGAGAAATGTGAAGCTTTCTAGATTTATATTAGAGCTTTTGTAAATCTGTGAGAGGACAAATTGACATCGCCCTTGTCTTGCGAGCTTGTACATCTGGATGGTTGATTTTAATTTGCAGAGATTATTAACAAAAAGTATTTATTAACAACATCTGCATAATCTCTCGATCAATAAATTTTCACTAGATTGCAAAAAAAAAAAAAAAAAATCAACATGTTTGTTTGTATCCATTTTAAAGTGTCCATCAACTTTACGTATATTGGCATAGTTTATATTCATGTACCTTTGTACATATATTTGTGTGTTTCCATTAAACAGATCCTTGTCTATATAATTAAGTGCATATATCAATTTGAGTTTGTTCATAGGTATGTTTGTGTCGATCTAAAGAATGGCTCGTCTAGGGACAACATCATCATGTCCACGCCAGCATATCCACGAGACATTGTCCATCACGAAGTTATCCACCACAACGAAACACCACACCCTATCCATTTGTTTTGTTATCCACCACACCTTATCCACTATAAATTGTCGAAGTTCATAGCAATTCAGGTGATGTCAAATAAAAACTTATATTATGTAACTAAATTGTTCAAGCAAATACAGATTTATCATTCAAGTAGTTGTAAACATATTCTAAAGTAGAGACTACAAAGGAATGGAAAAAAAAACAGTAGAGGAACAAGGACATAATCGCAGGATGGAGTGAAGAGAAGTAGGTTGAACTCGACGACATGGAAGTGCCTTGTAGAATGGATATGATGTTGTTGTAGTTGTTGTGTTTAAGTGTCCATGATTGTGTATCCATGTGATTGTATCCATGAGAGTGTGACCATGAGCGTGCGTCCATGAGATGCCTTGAACTTGGGAATGTTTCTTAGTTTGTCGTGGAGCAAGTGTTAGCCAGCCCTAGAAAAAACGAAGATATCCCAATATGACAGAATCCTATATGTCAATGAGATAGAATCAAAACAACATCAGCAATACATCAATTGGAGAGAAATAGCCAATGAATCCATATCACCCAAAATGTCAATGTGAAATGTCCATGCCACTATATGTCCATGTCCATACAAACCTGTTTTATGATAGAGTGGCTCAAAATAGTCAGAGGTTGAAAGTGTGTTTGTCCATCATCTCTTGTCCAGCATCTCTTGTCCATCGTCTATTATCCAGCGTCTCATCTCCACTGTCGCTTGTCCATTTTCTCCTATCCATCATATATCTTCTGTCCATCGTCTCCTGCTCAGTAAGCCTAAATTAACAATCAACTGAATCACACAAGGAAGAAAACACCCAATACCAAAACACAAGGGACTTAGATCGAAAGCAACAGAACCAGAAAATAAAAACGGCATGATAACACCAAATCTATTTTCTAAATCTGAGGCAGCCAAATCGAAACAGCGAGATTTAAGTGGTTTCAGCTCCGATCTGAGAGATTAAAAAAAGAAGAAGATGTGATAAGAGTACTAACCATGTTCGTCCATGGCGAAGAGGCTCATATCTTCCCAGATAACACCGACGCCATCGAGTCCTAAATCCAATAAGCTCATCACCACTCTCTGTTTTATCGAGATAATTGAAATTTTCATATCCTCTAATATCGTCGCCTAATGATTTGATCTGATTAAAGTGACGATAAATATATTTTTTTCTCAAGTTTTTTTGTTGCTCAAATCAGTAAAAATGTGTTTTGCTTTTTTACATTCGAGCAAGTGAGAAGATATAATAAGATTAGTCTTGTCATTTTATGTACCTAAAGTGCTTCAATTGCACAAAGTGCCTCTTTTTGTAATATGAGTTACAAAAAGTGTGTCTAAGTGTAATAAACTCCCACAACATATGCAAAACACAAATCTCTGATTCTTCTATAAACCAAATGGTCCAAAACGTCCAAAACGTCAAAAACCATAAACAACGCATCTCAATTTTTTTCCGATTTTTTCAGATAATGTCGAAGCTTTCTTTGTGTAATGTGACTAACCACTTACACAGATTCTTCTTCTCTGATTCTCGCCTTTACGCTCTGGTTTATTCTCCGGTTAATCACGGTACAGTCTTCATCACTTTTTCTCAGATAAGGAAGGATCCTCCTTTTTCGGCAACTCTCTCTGCCGATCAAGGAAGCAGCATCAGTCCGGTAAATTCTGGTACACCGGTGGATCCGTTCCGACCCGGTCGATTAATGGATGACGGCTTTTCGTATAAGGAGAAGTTCATTGTGAGAAGCTATGGGATTAACAAAACCACTACCGTCGAGACAATTGTTAATCTCTTACAGGTTTTGATTCTATTAAAAATCTGAACTTTGATTACCTTTTTTGGTGTTTGTGTGTTTTTTTTCTTTAGTTGAATATACCAAACTTGTGCGGCTCTGAAATCTTATAATAGAATAAAAATTATATCACGATTCTTGTGTGTCTAGGCAATGGTTTATTCCCAAACATTGCATGGTAAGCCATGTTTTTGCCGTTGGTTTGTTATACCTTTTCTAATGTGATCTCAGTTTAGTGAATGGTTCTTTGGCTGTAGGCCAGAGAGATTGGTCTGGTGTCATAGTGTCATTTGGGCCTATGGTCGAAAAGACTTATAGCCCCAAGTTCGATTCGTTGTGTGAAAACTCTGCGCGTATGTAACTTAGGCTTTAGCTCTAGGCCAAAGATTGGTGTGATGTCACTGTGTTATAGGGTCTTGTGGCTAAAAGAGGTAGAGCCGCAAGTTCGATTCCATTGTGTGCAAAATCTGCGCGTATGTCACTTAGTCTTTGGCTCGGGTGCTTTACATGTAATGCGCTTGCAGAAAACTCCTTAAAATTTAGCGCTTTGGCAAAATCCAGATACCGGTTATGTAATTTTGTCATGTGATTGATGATAAGCATGACTTTAGGCAATGGTTTCCATCCCAACATTGCGTGTTTGCCGTGTCCTTAGGGGTGGTTGGTTCAATGTCTGGTTTGCTTTCTGGCTCTAGGCTAGATATATGTGTCTAAATGTCGCCGGTATGTCTATTTGCTTTGGTCCTGTGATTAATTTTAGAATGTATTTATTTAGGAGGTGGCATGAACTATATTCAGAACTTTGGATTCTCGACCGACAGATTTGCTACAACACTCACCATGCGGAAACTGCATCTTATATGGGTTACTGAAAGAATGCATATTGAGGTCTACAAATATCCGGCTTGGTAATTACTTTTTCTTGAGCTTTGAGTAGTTGAGAATTGTGAGCCGGATTTTGTGGTTTGGAGTTGAAACGTTGGAGTTTTTTTTTTGGTTATAGGAGTGATGTTGTTGAGATTGAGACATGGTGCCAGAGTGAAGGAAGAATCGGAACAAGACGTGACTGGGTTCTCAAGGACTGTGCCACTGGTGAAGTGATTGGGCGTGCTACAAGGGTTGGCTCTGTTATTATACAGAAACGGTCATTTGTTTACTGAATGGTTGTGTTTTCCTTTCTACCATCCATACACTGATGATATCAGTAGCAACAGAAACTAGGCATATTCCTGAACTGTTTTGACATATGTTACATAGGCTCTCTCAGCAAGTGGGTGATGATGAACCAAGACACGAGGCAGCTTCAAAGATTTACAGATGAAGTTCAAGACTAGTATTTATTTTTCTGTCCAAAAGAACCAAGGTGGATAATTATTTTTATGGCCTTTTAAATAGTTAGCTGACATGAAAATCTCAACCTAGTTCTTTTCTGTATCTTTTCGTAGACTAGCATTTCTAGAGAAGAACAATAACAGCTTAAAGAAAATCCCAAAACTCGAAGATCCAGCTGAGTATTCTATGCTTGGTCTTAAGCCTCGGCGAACTGATCTGGATATGAACCAGAATGTTAATAATGTTACCTACATAGGATGGGTCCTTGAGGTGAGTAACTTAGTGTATGTCACAAAACTAAATGTCGTTTGTTGATGAGACAACTGATAAATTTGAGTAATGGTAGAGCATACCTCAAAAAATCATTGACACGCACGAACTTAAAGTTATAACTCTAGATTACAGAAGAGAATGCCAGCAAGATGACATTGTAGATTCACTTACCACCTCTGAGATCTCTGACGAGGCGGTCTCAAAGCTTACCAAGACCAACGGGTCTGCCACATCAAGCAAACAAGGACACGGTGAGAGCCAGTTCTTGCATATCCTAAGATTATCAGAAAATGGTCAGGATGTTTGTAGCATCCGTATCCGAGAAAATATGGAATGATCGTACCGGACAGGGCGTTGTTTGACGAATAATCGAGCCAAGGGTCGGATATTGGCTGGGAAATGGAAGTTCAGACTATGGTCGGGTGATGACCGAGGGAATAGTCGGATGTGGGCTGGATAGCCGAGCCGGATGGACCATTTCCGAGGGAAAACATGGTCCAGTCCGAGGAAAATAGGATTTATCCCGGTGCAGTGGGATTTATCCGAGAGTCTGGGAGGTTAGTCCGAGTGTCAGTGGACTGTCTCCGAAGGAGTAAGGGAAACCTCCGAGAGAAATAGAGGATTAGCCGAGATGGGACAAGTTATCCGAGAGGAATAGGAATATCCGGGTGAAAAATGGAAAACACCTCGGATAAGGGCGGTTTATCCGAGTGGGAAGGTATTTGGGCCGTGGGCCAAGTGTTTGGTCGGCTATTTTGGGGTTTATCGAAGGAATGGTTGAGCTGGTACAGGGAATAGCCGAGAGAATCGAATCGAACCGGGATAAAACTTACTGGAACCAAGAAAACGTCGGATAAGTCCGGGTTATCTAGGGTTTTGCGAGTATTTAAGGGATTTTGAGACTTTTCTCAGGATAGTTGTGTTTATTCGAGAGCAATAAAGCAAAGAAAGAGAATAGTCGAGAGAAAACCCTAAGAAAAGCAGTTTATCCCGAGGACATCCGAGAGAGATCAGGTTATCGCCGAGCAGAACCGACCATCGCCGAGATAAATTGGTAAGCGATCGGATATTTCCCTAAGTGTTGAGTTTTCATCGGATAACCTCGAGCTAATAGCCTTGTTTTGTAGGGTTTCTGAGGGAAACAGAGTTTGGCTCGAAGAAAGGTGAACGGATCGAGAGATAGCCGAGGGAATAAGGATCGGATCGTACGGACAGCCGAGAAATTCTTAAGGAGATCGGATATCTTCGTTTTGGTGCGGTTTTCATCGGGATTTCTTCTGACCAATGTGTTTCCAGCCATGTCTAAGGTGAGTGTGTGATTGTGGTTGGTGTCTAGGACCGCAGGATTGCTAGGGTTGAATGTTTGCATGTGATTGTGTGATTTTCTTGTTATGTGTTTAGAACTGATAAGCAATTCCTATGTTATAATATATTGTGGTGTTTACCGTGGCATATTTGATGTTTAGATAACCTCAGGGTAATCCGGATCATGTACTAACTTAGGGGATGTGGGATTCTCGCTGAAGTAGACATGAGTCTTAAAAAGGGATTGAACTTGGTTGGTTAGGCTAGATGATCATGGCCGTTTTATATTGTTATGTCTATTGCGAATTGATTGTGTTGAATGTTGAATCAGAAAGTATGATTGCATGTTTGATACTGACCAGGTATTACGGGATGACCGTACTCACTAAGTATTTATGAAATACTTATGCATCTCATCTTGAGTGTGCAGGTACTAAGCAGTAAAGGGGCGAGACCAGGCGGCAGTGATGGATATGGATGGATTGGGACTTGGTTTTATTTATGTTTAAGACTTGTGTATAGGGTCTTATGGCTTTGGTGTTTGGTCGTTAGGTTGCTAAATGAGTAGTTGTAATCTTTAGCGAACCTTGTGCTTTTATTATGTTGAATCTCGAATCCTATGCAAGTTAAATGAAAGAAATGAGTTGCTTTATATTCCGCTGTGTATTGATAAGAAAGAATAAGAAGGAAGGAAAAGTTTAAAAATATGGCTAAGTATAGAAACGGACTTAGAAGATGTAGTGGGACACAGCCGCGGCACGGTTTACCGGGTTGGGTTACCACAAGTTGGTATCAGAGCGTTTTAACGCTTCTAGGACTGAAATTGGTGACTGCTGTTGTTTGCTTGTTTGGGGTTTATGGGGGTCCGATCCATTCTTCACTGCCAAGGTCTCGTGGTAAGTTGTTGTGTGGTGTTGTGAAACACGTTTTGAGTTAGCTTCGGCTAACTGGCATTGTGTACTTGCAGATGGTTGATACCAGAAGAGCCGTGAGAAACAATGGGGAGAACCAGGCCGCAGGGTCTGTGAACTCAGTCAACGGTGATGTTGCTGAGAGGGCAAGGGAAGCCGAGAGTAAGGCAGCCGCGGTTGCGAATGAGGCGGCTATAGTGGCAGCCGTGGAAGCAGCAAGGAATGCTGCGGATGCTGAGAACGTGGCAAGGAATTCTGCGGGTGCAGCTGGGGTTGCTGCGAATGTAGCACCAGTGGGGTTAAAGGCTGTGCTTGGGATGTTAGCACATGTACTAGCTAGGCTACCTGCGGTGGCTCCTGCTCCGACGGTTGCAGCAGCACCACAAGTAGTACCACCGGTGGGGGTTCACACGGATGTGATTGGGGAGGAAGCGGACCAAGTGGAGAGGGTTCCGAGTTACCTCAAGGTTTTGGATCACATGGTGCGGTTGGGAACCAAGTTCTTTGCTGGAGGTTCTACACCGATTGAGGCAGATGAGTGGAGGATGAGACTGAAACGGAATTTTGAGTCTATCCGATGTCCAGAGGGTTATAAGAGAGACATGGCCGTGCACTACTTGGAGGATGATGCACACACGTGGTGGAAAGGAATCGTTGGAAGGCTGGTGAATGCGAATTGTTCATATGAGACTTTTCAGCGATGTTCAGGAGTAAGTACTTCCCACAGGAAGCTTACAACGAGTTGGAGAAGGCGTTTCTGTACCTTAGTCAGGGGACGCTTACAGTGAGGCAGTATGAGACTCAGTTTAACCAGCTGAGGAAGTATGTGTCTCATGAGTTTGACACGGAAGAGAAGCTGATTCGCAGGTTTATGAGTGGACTGCGAGTTGAGCTTAGGAATGGGTGTGTGGTTCGTGACTTCAGGACAGTTGCTGAGCTTGTCGAGAAGGCGGCATTGTTGGAGTCAGGACAGGCGGAAGCTGCGTTGTCAGCTGGGGCTAGTCCAGCCGTGACCAAGGCGGGTCAGTCTAGTGGACAGAACCGGAAGTTTGGGAAAGGAGTACCGAACAAAGGATCTGGGGGACGCAGCGTGTGCAGCAAGTGTGGCAAGGCTCACATTGGTGAGTGTAGGCGCGGTGGTAGTGGATGCCACAGGTGCGGGAGTTTAGAGCATCGGGTACGAGACTGTCCGGAGGAGGATCAGAGAGTGGTCCGTGTGTCTGGCAGTGATGGTGCGGTTCGGGTTTGCTACGGTTGTGGAGAACCAGGGCATTTCAAGCGTGAGTGTCCTAAGGCGGGAGTGGTGGAGCAGGCCGTGGCTCAAGGGAAGAGAGCAGGGGAGGCGCTTGCATCACAGGAAAAGAGACAGGCCATTATGCCGAGGGTGTACACGACGAGTGCAGCAGCAGCCGAGAAACCGAGCACTTCTCATCCGATTACTGGTACGTGTGGTACATAGTATTTTCTTTAAAATGCCTTTGCGTGATGTGTGTTAGTATAGAGTCTTAGTATTCTAGGGAATGAATGTGTAGGGACCTTGCTAATGGGTGAGGTTGAGACCCATGTTCTGTTTGACTCGGGAGCGAGTCATTGTTTTGTTAATCCGGACATGATCGGAAAGGACAGTTCCGGAAGGACCCCGGAGAGGACTTTGAGTTAGTTCAAGCGGCTGGAGGCCAAGTGATGTTTTCATTAGGAACGGTTAAGAATGTTCCGGTGATGTTTGGAGAAGTGAACATGCCAGCGGATCTAGTGATCTGTAGAGTTAAGTCCAACGATGTCATTTTGGGAATGGACTGGTTAGGCAAGTACAGAGCTCAATTGGATTGTCACCGTGGAAGGGTGCGGTTTGAGAGAGATGGAGAGGTCTTGGTTTATCAAGGAGTTAGACCAACCTCAGGAAGTTTGGTGGTTTCAGCTATTCAAGCAGAACGACTGATAGAGGAGGGTTGTGAGGCGTATCTAGCAACGATCACTACTACAGAAGGAGGACCAGATGTAGACTTAGGCAGTATACCGGTGGTGCAGGAATTTGAGGATGTTTTTCAGGCATTTGCAGGACTGCCACCAGCTCGTTCAGATCCATTCACGATTGAACTTGAGCCGGGGACAGCTCCATTGTCCAAAGCACCATACCAGATGGCGCCAGCAGAGATGGCGGAACTGAAGAAGCAGCTAACAGAGTTGTTGGACAAAGGTTTCATTAGACCTAGTAGTTCACCGTGGGGAGCACCAGTGTTGTTCATGAAGAAGAAGGATGGAAGCTTCAGGCTTTGCATTGATTACCGCGGATTGAACCGTGTGACCATGAAGAACAAGTATCCACTTCCCAGGATAGACGAGTTATTGGACAAACTCAGGGGAGCTACTTGGTTCTCTAAGATCGATTTGGCATCAGGGTACCATCAAATACCCATAGAGGAGACAGACGCGCATAAGACTGCCTTTAGGATAAGGTATGGTCATTATGAGTTTGTGGTCATGCCGTTTGGTTTGACAAATGCGCCAGCTGCATTCATGAAGTTGATGAATGGCGTATTCAGAGAGTACCTATATGAGTTTGTGATCATTTTCATAGATGATATTCTAGTATACTCTAAGGATGAGGAAGAGCATAAGAGTCATTTGTGAACTGCTCTGGAGAAGTTGAGAGAACAGAAGTTATATGCCAAGCTCAGTAAGTGTAGCTTTTGACAATGACATATAGGGTTCTTGGGTCCCATTGTTTCGGATAAGGGAGTGTCTGTGGACCCAGAAAAGATTCAGGCTATTGCGGATTGGCCCAGACCAGAGAATGCTACAGAGATAAGGAGTTTTCTCGGACTAGCTGGTTACTACAGGCGGTTTGTCAAAGGTTTTGAAAGCAGGGCTCAGCCAATGACAAAGCTGTCTGGTAAAGATGTGGAGTATGTCTGGACGGATGAGTGTGAAGAGTGCTTCTCAAAGTTAAAGGAGTTACTCACTAGTGCACCAGTATTGGCGTTACTAGAACCGGGTGAGCCAT